ACTCAAACGAAGCAACCGGGAGGATCTTAAGTATAAAGTTTGCTTCCGCTTTGCTTGCGCAAAGAGAGAAGCCGGCTTCAAATTAAAATTGTTTAAAGAGAAATTCAAATTACAAGTAATTTTAAAATTAAATGTATTTGACTATTTAACACTGAAGAAGTAAATGATCTCATTATTGCTACATATTCAAAAGTGTCATAAATATAAAATTATTTATTGGCGTCTGTGTACAATGATATGTACACTCATGTTAAAATGAATAACACTTTTATTTCTTCTGAACTGTATTTAATTTATATACCAAAATATTGTTAAAAGCAGGTGCTGTGATGTTTTAAAGTATTATCTGTTACTTACATTCATAATTTTGCTTTGAATAAAAATTCAGTACATTTAGTACTGATTTTTTAGCATGAAAAAGTCGAATGTACTGATTTCGCGCATGAAAAATCTGGCAACCCTATCACCGGAAGTCCTTTAAAAAAAATTCTGACGCCAGAAAAAAGAATTAAAAGTGGTGTTTTTTCCATGACTATACGAAATTATTTCTGTGTTCGTATGGAATAGTAGCTTATGTCGAAAGGCTGGCTTTAGTATAATGCGGCATTCGCAGCATACGATTACGAATGACTCACTGGCGTCGAGCCGTTGAATAACTTTTGGTAAACAAACGTGCAAGAAATAGTTCCGATAGTAGCAAGCCAATATTTTTATTAATTTTCATTAAAAAATTCCTCGTCGTTTAAAGAATAAAGGGCATGCCGCATTATACTCACGGTGGCCTTAAACCATTCTAAGGTTTTATAAAAGTGTGTCTACAATCGGCTTTCACAGGTGTTTTCTATATCATTTGGGTTCAAAATCCATCTAGATCAAAATCGTGGTTGATCCTTTTTTCGAGATATTCACATTTTTATATTTTACTTTTTTACACGCATTAATTCTTGTTTTTAGTAGTACTTATCATTTTAACAATGCATTATGTATTAGTATATATAAACATACATATATTATATCGTCGATGTTTTGGCAAAAACTCCCATCGACCAATTGCAAAACCGAATATCTTAAAACACTCAAATTTT